GCCATGGAACGCAACAAGACTAAGGAACAGTTGGAGGAGGAGAAGAAGATCTCGCTGTCGTTCCGCATCAAGCCCTTGGCCATCGAAGGATTCGGCGAGTCTAAGCTGCGCGAGAAGGCCCAGGAGCTGTGGGAGCTCATTGTCAAATTGGAAACTGAGAAGTATGACTTGGAAGAAAGGCAGAAACGTCAGGACTACGATGTGAGTACTAGCATAGTTCTCTAGAGATTCCAACATCTGACAGCACCATCTCCATTGACAGTTGAAAGAGTTGAAGGAAAGACAGAAGCAACAGCTCAGGCACAAAGCCTTGAAGAAGGGTCTCGACCCGGAAGCTTTGACTGGCAAATACCCGGTAAGTTGGCCACCTGACCTCCTGACCTCCTGACCTTCGATGCACCCATCTAACCTGGTCCCTTGCTTACAGCCCAAGATTCAAGTCGCCTCCAAGTATGAGCGACGTGTGGATACCCGCTCATATGACGACAAGAAGAAGCTCTTCGAGGGTGTAAGTATTCGGTTTCCACTCCTAAAGCTAACAGTTCTTGGGTTTTTTTTTTCGCTGGGTTGCCTCTTTGTAAAACTCTCTCAATATTACGCACATATAGGGCTATAATACGGTCTATGCGGAAACCTTAGAAAAGACCTGGCAAGAAAGACAGGAAAGATTTACTCAGCGCACAAAATGTAAGCGTCTGCTGAGCCCTCCATGTCTACCTTCGTGTCTCTCTCTCTCTTTATCTTTCTATCTATCTATTGTTTTATGTTTATGTCACATACTATGTTTTGTGTTTGTTTCACTACTACCGAAAGTACAGTCATGTCAAAGGGTTGGGAAATTTGAAACTCCACGAAAAGTACAGCCACGTCAAAGGGTTGGGCGTTTGAAACACTATCGAAAGTACAGTCATGTCAAAGGGTTGGGCGTTTGAAACACTAGCAAAAGAACAAAACTTGGGTTTTTTATAGGCCATTTTGGGGGCTGACAACCAATAACTCATCTAACGTCTACTCTCTTTTTATCTCTTTCTATGTTTTATGTACTATTTTTTATAATTGTCAACTGTACGTTGTACCGTGTTCATTAAATCACACACCAAAACACAATCAAAACACTATGACACACAGGGCTGGGACGCCATCTCCAAGGACTCGAGCGAGAAGATCTGGAACGAGAAGAAGGAGCAATACACCGGCCGTCAAAAATGTATGTACTGTAGATCAGATTCGAGAAATATAGCTAGGCAAAATGGGGATCAACTGTACCCCAACCAAGGGACGCGACAACAACAGAACAACATTCATCAATTTGTTCATTGTCGTGCTGTGTTTATTTCGTTTTTCCCTTTCCTGTGGAGCTCGTTCTCGAGATCCCCCTTCTAGTTACTAGTTACTAGTAGGCAGATGAGTATGAATATGCTAATGGTTTCCCCATCTGTAATCCTTAGCCAAACTGCCAAAGTGGTTCGGCGAGCGACCAGGCAAGAAGGCCGGTGAGCCCGAGACACCCGAGGGCGAGGAGGACGCCAAGGCCGATGAGGACATCGTCGAGGATGATGAGGAGGTCGAGGAGGAGGTCGTCGAGGAGGAGGATGAGGAGGCCGAGGAGGATGAGGAGGAAGAGGAGGAGGAAGAGGAGGAGGAAGAGGAAGAGGAGGAGGAAGAGGAGGAGGAGGAAGAAGAGGAAGAGGAGGAGGAGGAATAGACCAATCCACACTCTGGGCCCGCCCTCGCGCACCACTTTCCTTCACCACTTTTCGTAAAAACAAACACTCTACATTTAAATACCAAAGCCAAACAATTTTAATAAAAGTAAAAGAATGAACTAAATAGTTATGATATATCTTAGCTTATTCGCCCAACAACTTGCTATTCAAAATCAAAAACTCAACATCTTTTTTATTGAATCGAGAAATGTAAGATTTCTTTAAAATAAAACATCAAAACCAACACCAACTAAGTCAAATACTAGCAAAACCAAAAACAAGCAACCAAAAAAAAAAATAAGAGAAACAATCAAGATATTAAAGTGTGTTATGGCATCATATCTATGAACAATTCCTGTTGTTTGTGTGCATGTTTTGTGTGTATCGATCGGGTCTCCAGATCAACGTTGCCATAGTGGGGGAATAAGCACCTGATGGAGGTCTGAGGACCCATAGTTCTATAAATATTCCAGCGAAATTGGTTAATTGGCTTTCGTGTTTTCTGCCAATTTTATGAAGTGGTTTACTTCCATATATAATATATTATGATGATGTCTCATGGGAATTCCGAACTCAGCTCCTTTTAATATCCTTAATTTGGAATACATGACAACAAATTATTTTACATCGATACTTTTTGAATAGACTTCAATGGTTCAATACCCTTCTGTAAAACAAGTAATGAATAAAACTTTTTTGATTGCATAATTTTATATTTATGTTTAACTTTTATTGTTTCTCATTTGATTTCTTTTTTTTCTTGTATAGTATAATTTCGTATATATATTTTTTTTTATTTTTTTGATTCCTCATTTATCTGTTGTCGCGATGTCGTGTTACGAATACAATATAGTACAATTTTCTTAGGCTATAAACTGCACACAGAAAATGTCTTTGCGATTAGAATTAATTCGTTTCCATATCGGATCTCTGCAGCGTACAGTTAACTTATTTTCATGGATTACAATTGGCTAAATACATTTCGTTATGGTTCCATTGATTTAGGGGTCGTCGGGTGGGCATTATAATTTTGGGGTTGCTGGGAGGGTGCAGTATAGTGTAATTTATAGTTCCTTTGAGCTCTGATTGTCTGTCAGCTGCAAGTAGATCGTTAGTTCCTCAACATTGGTGTCTGGATTCCTGTCCTAACTGCAGCAATTCCACACACAAAAAAATGTACAATATATATAATACACGTATATTCAGAAATTTATACATATTACATACATACACGGGAAAAATTGAGAAAAAAATGCATCTTAAAAGCTAGCAAAAATAGTTTACGTTTCACATTTACCACATATATATGATTATATATAGTTTACATATTCAATGTGTTTCCCAATCACAAAGCTTAATAGTTTTATGGTTGCGACACGCACTGTGACTACACAAAAACACATTTATATAAACTTTTCTCATTTATGTTTGACTTTCTTCTCCGTTAATTTTCTAAGCTATTAGCAAGCAAGCGCGATTTCTCATCGCTGCCATCAAATAAACTTCAATTTTCCTCTAAGCAATCATTTTTCCTTATTTATTGTCAGCAATTCTCATTTTATTTCTTCAAATTAAACACAAAAACAAACTTTCATAGAGTTTTCTTTGAGCACAAAGCTAACGGCAAGTAAGTACATAAAATAGCCATCCCGTTCGCACACACACAGCAGTTAGGACGGACAAGGCTCGTGTGTCTGTGTGAGTGTCTGTCTGTGTGCAAGAAACTACTCCTTGCTAAAAAAATGGTTAAAACAATAAAAAACACCTTTCCAAATTCAAATGACTGAGTGAGATGCAAAGATTATTAAGTAGATGTACAGTCTGCTCAAAAGGTGTCATATTAAGCTGTCAAACCTAAAATGTAAGTACAGTCTGCTCAAAATGTGTCATATGTTACTGTCAAACTTTGCAAGTACAGTCTGTTAAAAAGTTGTCAGCTATTTTTGTTGTTTTTTACCTTTCATTCTTTTTAAAAGGGTTTTTCAGCCATCTGAATTTGAAGTTAATTTCCTAGACCAAATTATTTAGCTTAGCTAACTTCGCTTCTTCTTCCCTTACACTCACGCATACATATACATTTAAAATCTATTACAACGTTCATATACATTTAGACATTCAGTTTAAGTTATATATTTAATATATGGTTTTATTAAATTGGTTTTCTTTACATTCAGTCAATTTATTGCAACACAAAAAAAAGTTTACAAAAATGTAATATTTCTAAACTAGTTCACGTCTTTTTTCTTTTGTCATCAGCAGCAAGTATTTCATATGCGATTATTAATATTAAACTAAACATCTTAAAAGCTCTTTTCGTTTAAAATTTAACACTCCTAAATGGTTTTCGTTATCGTTTTCGTTTAGCTTTGCCCTACCATTTTGCAAACTATAAACAGTGCTTAGGTTTTATTTTCACGTCTCCTTTTTATATAGATCTATAAAGATTCCTAGAGCCCAATGACGAAGTTCAGCTAGAGATTCTTTCGATAAGTGGAAAACATAATTAAAATATTTATATTTTATATACACAATTACAGATACAAAACAAGAGAGAACGCTATAGTCGGGTTGTTGTCCCGACTATCTAATACCCGTCACTCAGCTAAAGGGAGTGCGAACGCTGTGTCGGGTTGGTGTCCCGACTAATAATCGTAACTCAGCTAAAGGGAGTGCGAGGGAGATAGATATATGTTGACAATTTATAAAGCGTATAACTTTTTAATGAATGGTCCGATTTGAAAAATGTCTTCTACATTTCGATAGGTATAAATATACACAACAAAATTGCATTTATACTTTTCGGAAATCTTTAAAGATGTGGGCGCAGGACCCATTTTAAAATCGTTAGTGGGCGATTGTGGGCGTTAGAGGGGGCGTGGCGCTTGGCTAAAATAAACTTGCGCTGCGTAGGAAGCCAAAGAATATGTGTGGGAAATCTCAACCTTCTAGCTTTTGTAGTTTCTGAGATCTCAGCGTTCATACAGACAGACAGACGGACAGACAGACGGACAGACGGACAGACGGACAGACGGACAGACGGACAGACGGACATGGCTAGATCGACTCGGCTAGTGACCCTGATCAAGAATATATATACTTTATGGGGTCGGAAACGCTTCCTTCTAGCTGTTACATACTTTTGCACGAATCTAGTATACCCTTTTACTCTACGAGTAACGGGTATAAAAAAAGGTTTCTAAGTGATAAAGCGACACGAGTCTCTCAAAAAACATTCGTACAAAAGAGGTTTAAAAAAGAGTTCTAAACTAAATTAAAATGTTTCGTTTTATGCTTCGTAAAGGAGGTCGATGAGGCATTGCAATGGATTTCCTGCATCTTCATCATTGCAATCACTCCTTTTTAATTCTTCAGCTTCTTTTGGTGGTTTTATATTTTTTGTTTTTTGGCGCAACACATTTATTAAGATTTAGTTTTTGGGCATACAGTGCGTTTCTTGACTGTAAGATAGGTGAGGGTAGGGGGTGAATGCCAACCGTTTGATTAAAAACAAGACTAAATATGAATTATAACATAAATCGCATTAAGTCAAAGCTCTGACTAAATTATAATAATGCAATTGTTCAATTAAGTAGCTTATCAGTTGAATTCGATTAGCTGGTAATTAAGGTAGTAGATATTGTAATGACCGCATGCATGGGCCGACGAATGAAAGTAATTCATTGCACAATAAATTTAATAATTCAACGCCCAGCCCGCATTAAGGTAAATCCATTTAAGAGATATTAAGGCATAAATTAAACGATTATGGGGGGAGCTATTATGGGTGGCTATTAAATTGGCATTTCTCCCTGCAACTTTAAGTCTTTTCGTCACGAAACGTTCTGTAGATGTTGAACTACTTTTGTTTTGTTTGTCTGTTTGTTTTTTTTTTTTTGGTAACTTTAAGAAGCATTAATACAAATACATAATATCGAGCATGTAAATGTCTCAGCTAATACAATTTAAAATTGGGTTTTCCGGCAGCAGCAGCAGCAACAGTTATCGTTATCCTTGTCGTTATCCTTCTTATCGGCAGCCAAGTCTCCCAGGTTCAATGCTTGCCACGCGGCAGTCTTATGGGTATGTGCGGATATCATGTATCCGCCATGGGGTCCTCGTTGTTCTGGTTGTTGTTGTTGCTGCTGGCTAATGGCAGCTGCTTTATCGTAATGACATCCTTTGGCTTTTGATGCAACAATTGTTGTTCTCGATCCGGTTCCGTTTCCCTTTCTTTTTCCCTTTCCGCCTCGATCTCCTCCTCATGTCGCTCGTGTTGCTCCTGTTGTTGCTGCTGCTGCTGCTGCTGTTGCAGATGTTGCTGCTGTACATGTTGCCGCTGTGCATGCTGTACATGCTGTCTGCTGTGTTGCTGTTCTGGTATCATTTTATTGATTGTGTACTGATTATTGTTGTTATCCTTATTGTTGCTATTGTTGATGACCGCTTTAAAGTCGTCATCCTCGCTGGACGACATCTGCAGCACTTCCTTCGCCTTACTCTCCCACAGCATTCGATTGGCCTTTAGCTGAAAGTAGACAAAGCCAAATGCGTATTCAAATTAAACATTAAACCACTCATAATGGGCGCACTTGTGCGTGTAAACAAAGCATATATGTGTGGCATAAACTGCGGCCATTTCCCATTTCCCATTTCCCTTGCAATTGCAGCTGTTGCTGATGGCTGATGGCCGCCTCATTACGGCCGATGTTGCTGCTGTGTTGCCGCTGATGTTGCTGCTGGTTGCAGTAGCATAGCCTAGCATGCCCCCTCTATACAGCATATGCAAACATCTGCCCCTTTTTGGCTGCAAAACATTAAAACATCGTTTGAGTGCCAGTCAAAGCGAAAACTTTGAGCACAACAGTTTGGTGTTCAACTTTGCGACGTCGCAGTTTGCAAATTAAAGCGAAAGAAAAATAGTTCTCTATTTCATTTATTTTTATGTATTATTTAAGGACCCCTCTGAATAATTTAATATTTAATGTATAGTTCCTAGAAACAGGTAAATTAATTAATAATGGGAATAATCTTATAAGTAATAGAGCCAAACAAATGAATGAAAATTGGGTATTCAAAATGTATGAAACAAAAAATCTGCCCTGAAATCAATATAAATATATAAATATATTACATCTCTTTGGAAAAAAACCATAGTAAATTCCTGTTTATGTTCTATTAGATAAGTCTGCTATTTTTCCACAATTATGTGATCCGAAAAACAATTATCAAAACGTTTATCCATTGTGAAAAGTAAACTTTTTGGGTTATAAAATGTAATTAGTTTCTTAGTTAGTTTTTCTTTGCAGATGTCTTAGCAACTAATTACTTTTAATGATTTTTCTGCGCTGCCTTCTAGTTTTTCTTGCCTTTTCCTCTGGACAAACAATTCAAATTCATTCCTCTCCTTGTTAAATATTTTAGATTTCCATTTGATTTCTGTTTATCTTTGGCTATGCAAACGCACCCGCAGAAAACGTAGTAATTTTCACAACATTTTCTTTCTTTGTGCGGTTGGTTTTCCCGTTTGACTCCTTAGTATTTTCTGTCTCGCCCTCCGCTTTTCCCATTTTCCCGTTTCCCTTTTTCGACCTCAGGGTATTAACGTTTCATTATTTGATTTTAATTTTCCCACTGCAACTGCCGTTCGCTTTTTAATTTTTGCATAAATATTAAATATGCAAATATGTTTAAAATATTTAATGTTTGCAGACACCTCTCTCGATATAAGCGGATGGTTCGGTTCGGTTCTAAAGGGAAGGGAATGGCATGCAAAGCCGTCAATTAATTAAAATATTTGCCATTAACATAAATTAAGGAATATAATGAAATTGGCGGACTTTCAATTGATATTAATTGCGTGGCACGTTGCGTGGCGAGGCGTCCCGGGGAATGGGAAATGGGATAACTGACCGGTGTGCCATCAGGCATCAGGGAAAAAAGGAGTCGGATTGGATTGGTGTGGGATCGGATGCCTGTCGAGCTGGCGGGGATTGCGAAAGTTGACTTAACTTTGTCCGGCTCCGGAACCCCGGCATTCCTTCGTCCTCCGTCCTGTCTGCCGGTGGCATGCATGTATAAATTGCCATTTATGCCATCATGCCCCGGCCACGCCCCCTTCGCAACTGCCGCCCACCGCCCCCTCGACAGGCAGCAGCGCGGAAACATTGCAATTGCAACTGTCAAACAGAAAGTGCCCCTGTGACAGGCCAATAAAAACGCACAAAAATCGGGGACATCGTCAAACGCAAACCACTGGCATAAAAAGCATAAAAAATTGCCCAACCAAGGTGTAGCAAATCGAGTGAAAATTGCCCGTTTTTTTTTACATCCCCACTTTAATTTACGAGACACTTTAAATTGTATATTTAAAAAAATTAAAAAAAAAAACAAACATGAGTATAAAGATGTCATCATTTAAATTGTGGCAGAAATAGGAAAGATAAGTAAAGGAAAATAAATAAATAAAATGTAATTAAAAAAAAAAGAAATCATAAATATTAATTTAATAGTACTTTTTAGCTACCAAGGGGAAAAATTAACTAACATTTCATAAATTAATAAAATAAAGTTGTAAAATATTATGTTATACAAATTGTAAAAAAAAATTCCGCTTGCTTAGGAATTTTTACTTCTTATTTAACTAATTTATTTGGTTGAGGAACACAAAGAAAATATATCTAAAAATCTATAAAAAAAAACAAAAAGACTGAATTTTTAATTTATTTAAACCTCAAGATCAGCTAAAAATGTGAGAGGTGTAAAAAGATCAGCGGCGTACCACTTAATTTTGTATTAAAATCCACAATTTATGAGATACTCCCAGAACAAACAAATATATGCAGGAGGATAAAAAAGTAGGATAAAATCGGCGCGGAGATAACTTAAGTTGAGTTAACTCAACGCCACTCGAGTCGAGTGGCGCGGAGTAACGAGGAGTGGACTAATTAATTAGCAGCTAATTTAACGCGTCGCTGCGCCGGACATAACTCAGCAGGATGCACTTGCAAACAGAGATAGCAGCTGCTGACGGCAGAAAAAAAGGGAAAAAATAGGAGAGGACACGGGGTGAAAGGTCAGTATAAATGGCCAAGGAAACCGAAATTTTCAATTAAACGTTAGTTGAAAATTCCGTTGGCCCAGTAATCACTGACTTAAAAGGAAGTAACTAGGAAGCGCCTCGAATCCTTTGACCACTTTATGAATACTAATTACATTCTACTGAAATAGCAAAAGGCAAGAGGTGAATATAAATTAAATTTTAACATTAAAGCCCTAATAAAACGTACTTTTAGAAAAAAACTAAAATAAATTTTAATTTAGATAAAAACCTTTATCATCAGACTCTATTTAAAGCTTAAAGGTAGCAGAAAAAAAATGTATAATTATTTTATCAAACCTATTACATAGAATAATGTTGTCGAAAACATAAATTTCCTTTGGGAACCTGATAAATAAATAATGAAATCAACTTTTTAAAACCCCTTGGTGGTAAAAAAAACAAGACAATAAATGTCAAATTTAATAAAAATGTGTGCAAAAACATTGATTGGTTAAATATTTCAGCGGAAAGTGCTAAATAAATAATGAAATTAAATATTTTCCGATAGCTCGCACCTTTGAGGTATGAAAAAGTGCACTACTTTTTCGCCTGGCCCTCGATAGACTACTATATTTCGATTAAATTCATATTTACCCATATATTTCCGGAGATTCGAATAAAAAATAAGAATAATAAACCCAACAAGGCACTACAAATAGTTTTTTCGCCCTTTGGCGCACAATGTGCATGCCATCGCCCATAGATGGCGCCACCAAGCGACCATCAAATCCCCATCATCATCGTGATCAATGATATTCCTTTCAGTTCCATGGCTTTGTAACCCCAACCAACATGCATATATGAATCAAAGTAGCTGAAAAAAGAATAATACAAAACAAAACGGAAAAAAAGGGCAAAAAGAAAAATCGCTAGGTGCAACCAACAAACGAGAAGGCAAAGTGCAAAACACAAAACAAACAAGCAAAACACAAATCGCACATACAGAACGAAATCGAGTAGAAGGATGAAAAAAAAAGTTGCACAATGTGTGATGTAAGTGGGGCGGAATTTGTGCTGTAAGGGGAGGGGGTGGTGATATACTGTATACGGGATATATGGGGGGGGGAATATGCAGGGAAGTGCAAAATATGCCAATGACACAGGCAACGGGAATGGGAAAGGCAGAGCCGAAGGAAAAGGTGAAAGATAACAAGAGCCTGGGAAAATGACAAGCAACAAAAACAAAGGACACAAAAAGGGGTTTCTAGTGGGTGGTGGTGTAGGTGGTGGTGTAATAGGGATGAAGTGAAATTGCCTGTGCTTGACAGTGATGCCTTTGGAAGTGTGTGTCCCTTAAGAGCCCTAAATTGAAAATGTAATCATTTTAGTTGGAAACACTTGGCAAACTGTAATCTTAATACATCCTGAAGTTCATATAAGTTCATATTGAAAGACGCCTAAATTAATTCTAAATATTAGAAATATATTAAATTCTGGTTATAAGTAATATGCGGAAAGTTCTACTGTGTTTTTTATTTATGAATGAATTAATTTAGATAAACAAACAAAATAATAACACATTTACATGCAATATACTAATGATAAGTTCAAAATAAAATTATAAACTCTTTTAAAACTGAATTTAGGCATCACTGATGTGCTGGGAAAGGGGTTTTTGGGATGTGCGATGAAGTGGTAACGTGAAAAGTAGCTGATTCGGAGTGTTTCGAGTTTCGAGTTTGTTTTGCATTCAGGAACCGGCGGGTTGCACCTTACCTTCGACGTGTTGTCCTGCACCCATGCATCTGGCTTACCATAGTCCGGCGGATTCGCGTACGGATCGTAGCCGAGCACGGACAGCATGGGCGCTATGTCGGCCATATCGCGCACCACGTCGCCGGGTATCTGGCCGACCCACTTGGACATCGCCTCCAGATTAACGGGCTTGATCACCTGGTCCGACGAGCGCTCCACCCTGCGAATGGATTTAATTTAAGTTATGCGTATTCCTCTCTGGGCTAAGGACTGCGACTCACTTGGAGAGGGGCACACCGTTGGGCTTGTTGATGAACTCCTCGTGGTGCAGCACCGCATCGTTCCATGGCACGTCCAGGAATTTCAGTATCTTTCGCATCCACTCTTCGGGATGCAGGACCAGCTGTTCGTAGTAGACCTGTGTGGAGATGGTAAATAAATTTGATTAATAGGTCTCTTTTGGAAACAACAAATAGAAGTATTTTAAAATAAATAATAATGATTTTAATAATAATAGTAATGGGACTACGAATAAATAAAATTATTTTTACATCATTGTTATTTATTTTAAAAATATATTAAGGACGTTATTAATTTTAAATGGAATTTTGAAAAAGTAGACAAAAACTTTTTTGGTGCAAAATGGTACACGACTCTCACAGCTTAAATCTGGCTAGAGCCTGGCCTATAATGTTTTCCCCAAAAGTTTTGTCACTAAAAAGGACTACAAAAAAAAAAAAAAAAAAAATTTTTAGTGGAAAAGTTTTGAGAAAATTGAGTGTCTCAACTTACAGACTGTCTCAACCTACAGACCTCTCCCCTATTATTAAACTATTTTGTAAAAGTTTAAATTGCTAACGTTAAAGTGTTTTTAATAATTTCATATACAATTTTCTGGTGACAGTTGTGAGGTGGAACTTTTTTGATCAGCCGTCAATGGAATTTAAAAGTCAGTTCGTTTAATTTCCTGTGCCACACTGCAGCACCCCGACCAAGTTAATCATCATTGATTGGTAAGGGTGGCGAGATGGGTGGCCAGGTGGCCAGGTGCCCAGTTGCCCAGTTGCCCAGTTGCCCAGTTGCCCAGTTGCCCAGTTGCCCAGTTGCCCAGTTGCCCGGGACTCACCATCATGCAGCGGTCCTTGCCGATGTCCCGGCACTGCTCGTGCATCACCTCGATGGCGTGGTTCCACTTCTGCATGCACTGCCGGTAGCTGCTCAAATCGAAGCCGGTGATTGTCACCTTGCGCGATATAATCGAATGAACTGTCGCCCGTCCGTCGCGCACCATGAATAGGAATTTAGCCTGTAACAACCAGAAAACAGGTGAGGTGCACGAGAAAAAATATTAATAACATTTTTTATATGTATATATATATTTTTTTAATTTTTAATAATGTTCATTAAAAGTTTTTGGGCAATTAAGCATGTGTATAAGCAGATTTCTGTACTTTGTATAAAAATTAAATAATAAAATAACGAGTCATTTTTTAAACCAACATTTTAAAAATGTTAAGATACTTTACATTTAAAGTAAAACATTAAATAACGCTGTTAGCAAAGTACCCATTATTAAATATATCATGTTAAAGCAAAGCCTATTTTAAATCCCTGTGATAAGAAATTGGTTGTCAAGACACCTTTGAGGTGTTTAATAAAATACTTTTTGCTTTTCTATGGCTTTTCTTTTAGATCAAAAGCCACCCTTTGAAACTGATTTCTGTGACAACCGAGTAGATGGTTTTTATACAAGATATGGTAAATGAAAATGGCATTGCATAACCGATATTGTTATGTTTTTTATGCTCTCAGTGTGTCGGTTAGATGGTTGGATGGCAGGATGTAAGGGATGCAAAGGAATGGGGAAATTGTATCGCTGCGGGTGCTTACGTTCGGAAATAGCTCGATGACATAGGAGCCCATTTTCAGCGTCAGCGGATCCTTGTTGCATAAGCGCGGCGCCGGCTCGCCGTGCTTGGCGATGATTTCCAGACAGAACTGCGCGATGGCACTGTTCATGACCTCTTTGGTGATGCCGGCCTCCTGCAGGCGGAGCGACTCCTTCTCGGACTTCAGCCAGTGCGAGCGCAATTGCAGGATGCGTGGAATGACGCGGGTTTCCTGCCCGCAGCTGCAAGGATCCCAAAAAATACGGATGAGAATACACAAAGCGGTGGGTTAGTACTGGCTGCGGGGCAGCTTCTGTTCACGTGGATAGGGTGCATCCAACGCGGTTAGAAATTTTATGTCCTCCGTGCTTTTGAATCGCGGTTTTCGGTAACGGAAAGTATGACAAACTTTTTAGAAACCAATGTGTTTGAAATTATGTAATTTCCACTTTTTAATAGCATGAGAATTTGTTTCTTAAAATATTTAAAAATAATCTAATTATATTGTAATAATATAATAACAAAGTAAATTATTTAAAAACGTGGATGTTTTTAATCGGATTTATTTTTCTAATTGTAAATAAATTTATACCATTATTATTTATATAAAAAAAATACGGAATTTATTTATATTTTTATTTATTTATTTTAAGATACTATAAATCTCTGATCTATCTATCCAAATAAAAAAATGAAGACTAAATTTTGTATTAGTGGATAAACCATTTAGAATATTCTTTCTTAAAATCTTTAAATATCATATAGCTACATTATAAAGAAAGTAAATTATTAATAACGTGGATGTTTTTGATCTGATGATATTTTTATAATCGCAAATTAATTTGTTTAATCATTTAAAAAAATACCGAATTTATTTCGAGACTTGGAATAGTACAATAAAATGTTTTATGTATTTAAGAAATTAGAAATGTCTTAACTATCTATCCAGAGATGTAGAAAACTAAGACAAAACAATAGCTCCTTTAATGAAAGTTTATAAGTTTAGCATTCTAGTTAATAGAGTGGCACCCCAATATGCCATTTTGGCATTGCCGGGCAACATGTGATGTGCGCTCCACCTCCTACTCCTCCCACTCCTCCCACTCCTCCTCTTAATGCAATCGACAAAACGAAATGGTATACCATCCGCTGTTAGCTCTTTGGTTTCCCCTCCAGTGGGATTGGAGCCCCGTCGCGATTCCATGTCTGCTGCATAACTCCCCATTTTGTTCTGCCCCCTCCGATTTCCCTTTTGGCTGCAGGACTGCAGAAACCACTGAACTATGAAGGGCTTCAAACGATTCGTTTGGCGTTTGCCGTTTGCCGTTCTAGAATTTTCCACCGGCAGCGCACCGTAATCAAGTTCAGAGCACACACAAAAAATTACTGCCTGATTGCGTAAATTATCATAAATATCCCACACTGCAGTGCAAGGCAAACGGCAATTGAAAAAAATTGAAAAAAGGAACTCGAACTCGAACTCGAACCCGAACCCATGACCCGGAGGAAAGTAATCAATGTCGATCAAAGCCTTGTATATTCAACTATTTTTCTTTTTTTTTTTGTTGAGCCAATTGAAAAGGGCTTTGGGTCAGTAATCAAAGTTGATTTAAGTTTTTTTGTTCCTTCAGCAAAAGTACTTTGAAACAAAACCAAGAGCAACTGCTGTAAAAGGAATTGAATTACGACTGATGTGAGCAGTATTAAACTAATTGCTTAATGTTCTTACATTTTATTGAATGTTGAAGTCATTAAGTAATTAACAGATTTTACTAGTTTTTTGTGACTGGTAATAAAAAATACACATTTATTACACAAAAAAAATAAATCGAAAATAATTACAATGTTTATTAACGAAATATTTCGTGTTATGATCAGAACTAACTAAATTAGTCTTGGTACAAAACCATTAAATGTCAAAATATTTGGGTATATTTGACATAATTAAAAGAGAAATAATTATTAAATTACAATGTTTATTAACGAAATATTTCGTGTTATGATCAGAACTAACTAAATTAGTCTTGGTACAAAACCATTAAATGTCAAAATATTTGGGCATATTTGACATAATTAAAAGAGAAATAATTATTAAATTAGAACACTGTATTACCAACAATTAGGCCAAATCCATTTGTACAGTCTATTAAAAGCTATATTTTTTCATATTTAATCTACAATAACATTAATTGAACACTGCCCTACTAATTAACTTTACAAAAATATTGAACTCATTGGAACAGTCAACATGAGCCATATGTTTTCTTGTCAACTAATCGTAACTACACTGTAAATGTTTTTAAGTTGTAACTCAATTCTTATCATCTCTTATTATCTATTTGTTAATTAGTTTTGTTATCAGCTACAGTTAATGGTAACCTTCGTGTTTGCAAGGAACTAGTAAAAATTAGTTTAAATTTGTATATTTCTTAGATCAGAAAGTATTATCTCTTTAGAAGACATTCCTTGCAAACACATGTTCAGTGAGTTATAAAAAAAGAAATACTTTTCCCAAAGAGATTTCTTTAAGCCCGCAGTTTAATGGCCCAACAACACGGAGTCACCTATTTTGCACCATCTAAATCGGGGTCACAACTTTATCTGGCCCCAACCAATTACATTTGTTCGCACCTCGCACCATGAGAGCCCTCCACCTCGGTGGGGATTCCCCTCTATCCGTATCCGTATCCCTATCCCTATGCCGCCATGCAAATCCCACAAAATTGTTTCGGGGCTTACCCAGACTCAATTAGTTGATGCCAAGTCCAAATGCTAAATGCTACAAATACTAAACCAGATTTAATCTGGAAACCAGGAGGAGGGAGGAGGGGGAAGTGAGGAACGAGGGTGACCTACTCCACATACGCTTAGGAAAGTTTTACACTTTGCACCGCCCACGTTTTCGTTTTCGGGGTCCTGCAAAGGCGAACAAAGGACGAGGACCTATTCTGTAACTAAAATCCGTGAGATCCTTGAGGGAAAGGGAAGTCGGTTTTTAAATAGCGGAAATTGCGCTGTGCAGCCATCAGAAAAAGCGACCCTGCCTGGCTGGCTGGCTGATGTCAGGATCCTGGCTCCAGGATACAGGACGCAGGATAGGCCACGGATGCGATGGGACAGGATGGAGCGAAATGGTCTGGAAATGGGACCGGCAGAAAGGCAAATTGTTAATAAAATAAGGGGCTTACAAAAAAGATTGAAGCCTTTTTTCGGTCTTCGTCCTCAGCCATTTCTCATTTTCAGATTGCGCAAATTTCGTGGCTAATTACTCATGCGTAAGGGAAACTTAAGAAATTATAATATATCGCAGCTGCCAGAAGGTAAAAGGCAGGAAGATAAAACCAGAACCAAAAACAGAAACAGAAACCGAAACCGAAACAGAAACAGATACGCAAATGGAGGCGGCGCAGGACCAACCGTAAAAAAATATTAAAATTGCCAAAGGGCGAAACGGAATATATCGAATTGGGTTGCTGGTTGTAGGTTGGTCCTGGGAGGTGGCAGATTGGTAGATTGAAATTGGGGAGTTGGACACAGAACACACAGCACCACCCAAAAAATGTATATATTAAAATTTACAACATTTTCCCCATAGAGCGGACTGGAAATACACTTTATGGCAGGGCAAAAAGCAGCAGAAAAGGTCCCCCGAAAAACGGAAGAGGAAATTATTTGGAATTGGAATGTTTTTTTAAGGCATCGGCAAATGTTTGATTATACTTAAAGGAAGTGCGAAATTTGGTTAGCAGATTTCTCTGGTTAAGGGATTTTAAAAACAAAAAAACAAAAAACTGGAAATACTTTTAGCGTATAAAGGTTGAAAATAAATAAATAAATATAAAAAACCGGAACATAAGAATAAACATTAAAATATTTTTTGCGATGGTTGGCTAGCTTTAATAAACTTAACTAAAATAAGTTTAGGTTTATTTACACAATAAAAACAAAAGAAGATCCGCTGAAAAGCAATCGAATAAATTGTTTGTGATATGCGATATGAGTAAAATTTTTCAACAACTCACATACAAAAAAAAAAAAAAAAACAGTTCTTCTCGACTAACTTTTTCTTGCATTGTCAGAAAAAATGAGAAAATTCTTCCAAGAAAATTGCAGTCACTCTGTTTGACATTTGAAACTTAAAATTGGATAAAAAAAAGTGCGAAATGATTAAATATATTATGCTGTAAATGTGCTAATAAAAAGGATATGCGATATGCGCCAGAGTGCTCAACAGCTCGAAGGAAGGAAGAAAGAGGACCTCTGGCAGGCAAAGTGACAAAAGGGAAACTTTAAATTGGATTTCCTTCGGTGAAAATTAAATGTTAATTGAATTGACAGCAATGATTTCGAGAGCATTTCAATAAAACGACGGCATGAAGGCAATTCAAGGATTCGTGATATGGTTGAATTACTTAATTTAAGATTAATAGATAGAATAATACACATTTAGTTATTATAAATACATAAAATGTTATGTATTTATACTTGGACATATAGCTGCACAACCCTTCCTGTGCTCAATGTCAAACCAATAAATCGGCTGTGATATCCGATATGTGCAAGACATCTCCTCGACTCCTCCCGGAAGAGAGGAGGAGTAAGAGGAAGTGGAGCTGTAGCATTCCCCCGCAGAACGCGCATTGTGGCAAACAATCAAATCGAACAGTTGCCGGTGGAACGGTGAAAGGGTATTATCCGGTTACGGGGGAACCCAGGATTCAGAATCGGGACAACCAAGGGGCTTCCGGGCAGGACTTACCGCACATCGGGATGGGCATCCAGCATGGCGCGCATCAAAGTCGTCCCAGATCTGGGCACGCCGCCTATGAATATTAATGGCATCTCACGGTTGTATGAATAAACGCGTTGATTGTCATCTGTGAGGTATTTCTGAACGTGTCCGTATTCCGTAACCGTAACCGTGTCCGTATCCGTGTCCGTATTTCGTGTCCGGGGTTTCGCATCCGTATCCGCGACGGCAATGTGGGTGGAGACAAAAAAATAAAATTAGAGAAAAGTTGCAGGCGCAAAATAAATGACATGGCTCGTGGTGATGGCCATGATGATGATGATTATTATTATTATTATTATTATAATGATGGTGGTGAGTGGGAGAGCTGGGAATCGTGAACCGAGGGATTGTGGGTGATGGCTTGATGGTTGAGTAAGCGCAGGTGTTAACGCCGTCGTGGGCATTAGCGTCAGAAGAAATAAAAAGTGGTGGCGACAGGTGATGGGCATTACTAAAAATAGATTCTAGCTTTCCATATGGAGGGAGCTCCCCACCGAAAGGTTCTGCAGCCTTATCTTTCTCTAGCCTAAATCCAGTGATAAATTGAAACCTTATCAAAGGCAAACAGCGTGTAGAAAACTCCACTACCCAGCTAATGGAAAATCGATCGGTTTCCGTAACTCATAAGCATTCAATTAGGAGAGTGATAGTGTGGCATGGCTTTACTTTTTATCTAATCGAAATGTTTGATTTGATAAATAAAAAACAACTGGGATTTATTATAAGAAATGATAAGGAAGTTAGTTTAAATTATTTGATTAAATTCACATTTCATATTTGCTTCTCTAGAAATAAATTATTCATCACTTTTGCTGCTCATATGCATGCCTAATTGAAGACCATGAAATTGAAATCCATTGTTCGAGGCGCTTTGTTCTAGGAATTAACTATTTGGTTGAGCGATAACCAATTTAATCAATGGATTAATTTGGTTTCGGCTGCCGCTGCTGCATGCCAACCAATTGGCCTGGGTTAATTAAACCACGATTTGATTTGGCCCGATGGCAATTTAAGCCAGGGCTTCGCATTTTCCATATTTAGCCACAAAAATCTCCCACTTTTACCTCCTTCCCTAATTACCCATATACACAGGATCATTTGCATTTGCATTAATTTATATTTATATTTATATTTGCTTTGGCACAACATTGTCGTTGTGCCCATTAAATAAGATGATATGCTGCTGTGTTCGATTTAATGCAATGCAATATAAATCCATTGGTCCTATCCTAATAATTATGCATTTGGAAGCTGCATGATAGCATGATAGCCGAATTAAGTCATGGCTCCACATTTCGTATAATTGGGACCGCAAAATTCCCGGAATTAAAGCCCCTTTCATGGCTAAAACCAAGGATGTGTTAATGCTCTGTGGAAATGATTTGGCCATCTCGTATCTCGGCACACACATCTCGGACGCATTGTCTTTCTTGTGTGGAGTCATCTCCTGCCCCCCTAAGCTGCTTATGACCTCCGCCTTCGATATTCCCAATGCTAATCAATGGATTCCCCCCAAGCCCCCATTCCCATTTCAACTCCAACGAGACCATTTTGGTCTCGACTAATGTTTACAAAATAGTGTTCGGTCATCCGATAACCAGTTAAATTCCCTCAATGACTTTTGCTTTGGTTTTGCGTGTGCGGTCGGTGTTTTCCGGGGGGCGGCAGGATTTTCATCTGTGCTCAGCCAACATGAAATTAGTTATCCAGCTTCGGATTCGGTTCTACTCCCATGATTTTTTTCCTTTGATTTATCATTGCAAATGTTTTTGTTTGGCTTGGTCAGCACGAGCGGAGTGGTGACCACAGTGCGTCACAAAAATATAGCCTTTGAATATCTAAACAAAGCTTTGAATTTCTATCAAACTTAAGAGATATTCAAAATATAGTTATATCAATAATAGAGCTATAAAATTAATGATATTTATTATATATTTCTACAAGTATTCCCACAATTTCTTTAACAAAATCTAAAAAAGACATCTTCCTTCTGCAAATTTCAAGGATAAACTCCGTTTCGCGGCACAAATTTAAATAAACCATTAGGCTGCGATTGAAAGTCTTCAATATCTAACTGATTTCGGAATCAAAAATAGATTATCGAATGAGGCAAGCCTAGAATCTGTCAGGACCTGATTGCTGGCACGCTTTTGCAGCCCCTTTTACCACTTGATTAAATTTAAATATTTTTACACATCCGCAATCCCTACATTTTTGCGACGCACCTTGGGCAAAGGATGTAGATGTTCCGGGGTGTGACTATGTGTGCTTTTTCCTTTGCCTTTTTTCCCCAGAATGGGTATGAGGATGGATGTGAAGGATGTGAGGATGTGAATGGGTGTGAGGCAAACAGATTGTGTTCGATTTGGGGGTACATACCTCAACGCGAACCATTTGGGAGGCCAGCTCGTTGGAGGCGTCCACCTTGAAGAGGCATGTGGGCCGCAGCTCGGTGAATTTGAATAGGAACATGGTGATGACGATGATGCCGAAGAGCACCCACAGGGTGACCTTCTTATTTCGATATGGCAGTCGCATTCTGGCGGTGTAGGCTAAGGTGTCGCAGCTAACTGGCCTTTGATTCGGCGATGTGGTCTAGTCGGTGCTGGTTGGTGGTTGGTTTTTCCTTCTTGATTCTTCTTCCCGGAGGCGCCCACTCGTTTTTCCCAGCTCCTATTGATTGCTCCTCCTCCGCTCTACGTTTGCCCAAAGCTTAAATATGTAAATTGGTTTTCTTGAGGTCCTCAAAGCGAGAGTTGTTTTGCTTTGGCTTTTGCTCCTGCCGTTGCCGTGTTGCCGGGCTCCTCTTGTTGGCGAGGAATACGGGGATTCGGGATGTGGTGGGTGACTGACTGGCTGGTTGGCTGGTTGGCTGGTTGGCTGGTGTCCCTATAGTGGATACTGATGCAGCTGCGGCGGCGGCTGAGGCTGCTTGGCGGTGCCACCACAATAACTCCGTCCACGGTGGTCGTGGTGGTCCTGTTCCGGTCTGTGTTTCTGTTTCTGTTGCTGTTGCTGGTCCTGCTGCTGCTCCTGCTTATGACGTTGATTGCTTTGCATCGCCTCGCCTTTTGTTTACTCCTTTCTGGCCAGCCAGCAGCAGCAACAACTCGGCTCGCACAACACGATTCTGGCAATCCTGGCAGTCCTGGCAGCTGCTGGGACCCCTGTTTATCACTCTCTCCTCTGCCGCTTTCTAGTCCTTTAGCTTTCCATTTATTGCATTTTTACAAAATATATACACATTGATATCACGCTGCAAAGGGAAAAGCAAAGACTACGTTAAGCATATTTAAATAGTTTGCCACGAATTATTGTTTGCCGCCAAGATATTCGACGATGCTCTTCTGCCTGCGCAAAAATATCGCTATGGCCAACAGTTCGCAGCACAAGAGAAACCAAAGAAATTTATTACTTGAGCTATGGCTTAAATCTTTTTAAATTATAGGAGCGAACAGTGAAAATGACAATGGCAATGAATCTTTAAAAATAATAAAATCTTGTTTCTGTTAAAATTTCCTAAATGTTTATTTAAAAAAAAGGACTTAAGATAAGGTCCGTTTTCTCGTCCGCCTGTCCGCCTTAAAGAAAGATTTAAGGTTTTATTCTACTTTAAATTTAACAAAGGAACGAAAAAAAAATATAATTTTAATCTTTGCTTTAACCTGAGGTTAACTTTTATGTTAACCATTTCTCACATGCTCCTGCTTTCCTGCTTTTAATGAAATCCTGTGGTGCTTATATTGCTAACTCTACTTTAAATTTAACAAAGGAACGAGAAAACGGTTGATTTTAATCTATGTTTTAACCTAAGGTTAACTTTTGGGTTAAAATTTTCTCATTTTCCTCTATATTATTTTTCTGCAATGGTAACTAGGTTTTCCTGTGGTGCTTATATCACTAACTCCAAGCGAAGGGTAGTCACCACTTCTGTTTTCGTGTCTCTTTTGATTTTTTGTTTTTTTTTTTTGCTGGTAACTTGCAACTTTGAATGTTTGGCACTCCACTATCCACTATCGACACTCGACTTTCGACACTCGACCGCTTCTGACTGGCAACCTCAAGTGACTACGCACCTCTTCGGCTTTGGCTGTTCGACTTTTCCTCGACGGATTTCTCGTCTCCCTCCTGATGACGGCTGCAACTTCAGTTCAGTTCAGTTTCAGCTTCAGCTTCAGATGTTTGCTCAGTTGTTGACGAAGAGCTGCCAGCCCAGTGACTTAATGAGCCGAAATGCCAAATAGACTGGAACCAACGTCAGCGATATATACACGTAATAGCTCCAATCGCCGGTTATTTCCTCCGTCATACCTGCAGATGAAACGCCAAACATGGAAATATTATTAATCACCTCGCATCACAAACAAAAAACCAAAAAAAAAAACGAAAAGAATTAGGGAAAAGGAGAACAAAAAAAACCGGAGTAAACACAGGGGAAAGAAAAGTGCAAACACAATTTCCCTGGCAGGGCGATGGAACACATGATATATTTGATTAGAAATCATACACGATACATTTGTTCTTTTCCTTTTCAATATGACGTATGAACGTGACTCCCAAGGGGGTCAAGGGGACACATAAGGAGGGGGTGGAGGGAGGGAGCGGGGTAAGCAGCTTACATAAAAGACATTTCCCAGCTGTTTTCCCAGAGTCTCTAAGTGCCTCGCAGTACAGTAAAATTCAATGGATATTTATTATTATTTATCCAAGGATACACTAATATTAACATTTGGATACCAGCATTTATCTTTGAAATTATTGTGATGGAATAAATGACATAGGAGTTCCTGTTATTACTTTTTATTATATTATTATTATGTAATAATTATTATCTGGCATTTTAAAAATTGTGCAGATATTAGATATTATAATTATATTATATTAGATATTCAGGAAAAAATAATTATATAGTATAATATTATTTTTGATACTTTGTATTTCTTTTTAGCTATACAAAATATTTGGAAAATCTATCTCAAAGGAAACTTGCTCCCGAATTTCGTTGCATTAAATTCCTACACTCAAAATAAAATTAACCCTAAAGTCAAGGAAATCGCCCTACTTTTGTCTTCAAGACAAGCTCGCCCTAAATTTTAGGGTCACATTTTTCTATATTTTTGATTTTTTTTGACGTCATATTTCTAAATTTTAGGGTAATTTTACTAAATTTAAGGGCAAAAATTTCTAAAAAGTAGGAAATTTTCCTAAAAAATAGAAATTAAAAACAAAACAAAAAAACATGTTCAATCATGATTTTTTTTTGTATATACGTTTATATTATGTACTCCTCCCTATATACATATGCAGGCGTTGTGTGGTCTTGTATATTGTGAATGTTAAAGGTTATGTATTTATTATTATGTATTTGCGCTTGGATTTCTTATCTAACCAAAGCCAAATGTGGTTGTAAATGTGGACTACGGGACTGCGGAAGATTGGGAATGTAGAAATTATGATTAGTTAATATTTTATGTTCATGAAAAAAACTTACAATTTTTTACTTGTCCGTCGTGAAAATCGAACCCGGGTCTCCCGCGCGAGGAGCGAATGGCCTACATACTGGGCCATTGTAGCACTTAAACTTGCTGTGGCAAACCGAGCAATGTATGTAAAGGGTGAAGCGGACAACACATTTGAATACTAATTGCATAATTTTGACCATTCGCGTTTTACTTATTTACATACGTATATACATATGTATATATTTATGCTAACGCAATTTATATAATGTGTAGTATATAGTAAATAACTGAATATAAACCTAATTATTTTTAGTTTACTGCTTGCCATCAATAAAAAAAGGAATAAAAAAAGTAAAAAAACAAATAAAAATAAAATAAAATAAATTTAAAAAAATAAAATAACATTAAAAAAAATTATTAAAAAATTTTGCTCTGGGACTCGAACCCGCGTCGATTCGATTGCTAACCAAGTGCTTTAACGGTCTGCGCCACGAGTACAGCTGGCCGGCAGCTGACAAGTTCTGGCATTGAACATTTTGGTGTGCCAGAGCATGTGAAAACAACTATTCCTATTTTTTAGAAAAACTTTCTACTTTTTAGGAAATGTTTCTATTATTTAGGGTTAGCTTAATTTTAGGGTTAGGGCACTCATTTTTAGAAAAGGTGTTGCCAATATATTTTATTATTTTCGTTTGCCTTTCTATTTTTCAGAAAATAATTTCTAATTTTAAGGGCATTTTTTCTAGATTTTAGGGTGATTTTAGTTCATGGTAACCATTTTCTACATTTAAGAAAAACTTCCTGGATTTAAGGAAAACTTTCTTGACTTAAGAAAAATTTCCTTAGATTTAGAAATAACTTTCTTGTATTTAGAAAAAAGATAATGGCGATTTTCTAAAATTTAGGGTTAAATTTATTTTGAGTGTATTAAAAAACTCCCTAGCTAATGACAAGGTTATCAATTCCTGTCCATGGAAGTTTGACTGTAATTGCCCACATTCTCGTTGGTGGAAATCCCTCAAACTATTTGCCCCTTAGTAGCTGGAGTGCATATGAGTTTCTGGCGACATTCGTCACTGGATTTTCCCTTCGTTCTGGGGTAAAAGGGGTTGGCAGGGGCGGTTGAAGTTAAAGGATGAGGGATAGTGAGTGGCCGGAGCACACTTGACAACTGCCAACTGCCAAGTCCCCGGCAAGTCTCCCAAGTGCGGCCGACGTGTCAGATGCTCGAGTACTTATAATTCCTTTAAATTCTCAACTTTCCCAGCTCCGACATATGTACGTATGATATGTATGATATGTATGAGCGGAAGTGAGGTGGCGCAGGCCAGGATGATAGACACAGAAAGCCGTAGCGATACCAACTGGAAAGTAAAGTGCCTCAAAGCGAAAAATGTGCTACGAAAGAGTTGTAGTCGCAGTCGTAGTCGTGTGTTGGGTGAACTTAAAGAGCTTAAAGACCAGCCATTGGAAACTTCATTTATTTTTCGGTAAATGTTGGCAAACATAGTATGTATGTTGTTACTAATAGGCTGTCAGCCCAAAACAAATGTAAACATCACGAGTTTACTCATATGCAAGTCGTAAAATATTAATGAAGTGTATAATAAATCAAGCACACAAAGGTAATGAAATATTAATATATTTATTTATTTAGCTTTAAGGCTTAAAATGTTTAAAGAAAAATGCATAACAATATTATAAATATTTATGTGCCAATTTTATAGTTTTAATTTTTGAGAATAGTTTTTGAACATAAAATTTTTAAAAATATTTAAATAACTTTGCCTTCAGCTAAGATTTTGAGAACGACAAAATTCATAAATAATTATTTTCAAGTGACCAAAATTGGTATACACCTTCCGATTACGATTCCAATTCCAATCCTCATTAATTCCCTTTCATTTGGCACAAACAAAATTTAAAAGTAAACTTTTACCATTCCGCAAAACTTTAATTAATTTAAAATTTGAAATTATTTGTTGGCCAAAGAAAAACGCACAATTTCTACAAGTTTTCACAAATGGATTTGTGTGGGTGTGTGTGAGGGTGTGGGTGTGCAGCTTTCGTCACTCGTTCAACCTCAGAAACTATTTTCTTTTGGCCAGGCCAAAAACTTTCAAGAAGCTGGCAATTTGTCGTCGTCGCAGGAGTTTTCCGTCTTCCATTTTTCCTTTGCCTTTCCTTTTCGTTTTCATTTTTCCTTTCCCCCTTCACATTTCACCTTTGGCTGTTGGTGCAAACATATATCCCGTTATTCCCAATTACACATGCACTTTTCCAGCAATGTGTGTTCGTGTACTTCCTGCCATCTGATCCTGAATCCTGCCAACTTGTTGGTCACTCCCTCTCCCAAGGACCCGAAAAGCAGGAGCAAAACAAGCAGGGACACGGCGCAAAGAAGGCGGCGCTACACTTGCAAAAATAACTACGTGGGTGTAGGACAATCAATCCGTAATTTGCTAGTTTTTAAGATAATATCTAAAATAATTAGAATAAAATACCGCTTATGAAAATAAGTATTCTTTTAGTTGGTAGGTCAAATCGCAAAGAATTTAAATATTTTAAAAATACACAGAGAAATTTATCAAAAGTTTTAGGTGCAAAATAAGGGATGAAACATTTTAAAAAGTAAAACGCTTCATACAAATCGTATTTGACTTTGCATTTCTAAAACGTTTTCAATTTTTATTTTTAAAATGTTTTTATATGAAAACGGCACCTAAAACGTAGTATAATTTTCTTTGTGTATGTTTCTGATTTTTGATGCTGGTCTCCAATAAACCTATATACTTATAAGGAAGGTATATGATTTTAGGATCTAGATAATAGTCTCAATAATATGTTTTAAGAGCTACTTAGATTTCTGGTATTTTCATTTTTCCTGTGTACACGAGTACGCAAAATGTATGCCCACATATGACAGAAACCCCTCAAGGGCCTTGCTTGTTCTTCGGCTTGCCACATTCTCCGCTTTGCTGCTTTTCGTATGTCGAAAAGTTTTCATATTAAAAAATAAACAAAAATAGAAATTCCTTTTGGCCATATTTTGCATTCTAAAATTGTGGGTTATATATTTACCCCAACCCCAACTCCACCGCAATAGTCGTCGCCCGCCGAAATGGGTGCCAAAACTTTTTAGAGCAACGTTACTACGGCAACCCCTTTACTTTTCTTTGCTTTTTTGTTCACTGCTCTGCTCCCACGCAAATGAAAGAAATACCAAAAAAGTAAAAAATAATAATAATAATAATAACCCGAAAACCAAGTTGGATTTTTGTTTGAAGAGGTGCACAGCGTGTGTGTGTGTGTGTTTTTATGTTTGTGTGTGATGTTGGCAAACATTCACACACCGATGTGAAAGCATTCGCTCCAGTTTTTGTTGCCTTTGTTGCTGCTCGTTTGTTGTTTGGCTCAAGTGTCGGTTAAAGTCTTGTAAAAATTAATAAGCGTGTAAATTGTATTGTATTGTGCCATACACACACACTCGCACAGAGAACGCATTAAATTGTTTATGCATACGAAGAGTTTTCCTACTTTATTTTATGGGACTTTGAGTTTTTTTATTTCCACAAACAGTTCTCAGATGCTTTTGTTCTTATGTTATGCTCAACTTAAGCTTAATGGCATTTTGTTTTCGGCTCTGCCATACAGTGGATCGTAAGTGGAATAAAGGGACTTTGGGTTATAATAAAAATATATTCTTATATGAATATCCCCAACATTTTTACTACATTTGGATGACTATAGCAGAGTTCAATACCCACTGCTTGGCAATTTTTTTTTTAAATTGTTTAAGGTCTGCTAATCTTTATTAACTTCCAAATAAGGGTTATAATACTACAGAGT